CGGATGAAAACTTGCAGGGTTCTGTTTTTCTCATCGCTGTTGAGACACTGGTAGATGCCTCTGGGGTCGTCCATCACAGCCAACACCAACTCCTTCCCTTGGTAGGTTAGATTCACCCCGTCTTTTTTCCAGCGTGTCTCATTGTTGCCCCCTGCACATACCAGGTAGACCGTTTTCCCTTTCTGCTCTATGGTGATATCTGCAAAACAAATGGGATGAGGTGGCGCAAAGGTCCCACAGGCAACACCTCACCAGCACCCCCAGGGTTTCAGGGGCCAAACAAATTAGATAACAGGCATTTTAGCAAGACATATTTATATGGCCATCTTCAGGAACTGGTATTCCTTCAGCAAAAGTATCATGGCTTAATCATTGGTTAAGTGAAACAAGCCTTTGTGTTTATTCCTAGTTCTGGGCCAGCAGTTGCTGCTGAGCAAAGGTCTGCTTCCGTTTTCTCTATCCAGCTTCCAAGCATCCGCAGGGATGGGGTGGGGAGGGAATTTGTCTGCTGAAAGTAGACCAGGCCTCTGCAAGGCCAGAAACCTGCTATCAGCCGCTGGGACCAAGTCTTTGCAGCTGCTTCTCTCCCACACTGCCTGTCCACTTCGCTTGTCTCATGGAACTTGCCTTCCTCCTGTAACAGGTTTGCTCAGCTGAAAGTCCTAGGGAAACTGCTGAGACTTCCTCCTGCCTAGTCTACCTGGCGGTCTTGAAGTGTTGTTTAAGGCCCTTTGCCCTCCTAACCAGGAATGACTCTTGATGAGCTTCTAGCCAGCCAGAAAAAACTTTCCAAATATTCTCTTGCAAACAAGCCTTTTCCAAACACCCAGGATCTGGAAAATTCAGAAACCAGCCCCAAATGAAAGAGAGGCAAAAAATTAAGCACACCAAGAGTCACTGACTGGGCTTGTGCATCAGTCTACGCTCATTGCGCAAACCCAGCCAATTATGGCATAGTCAGTAAAACACGGCCGCAAAACGTATGGCTGGACCCAGACATACTGTATAAATCCACCCTATTTAAACTCCTCCCAAGCTGCCTCACTGCTTTTCTTTTAGAAAACTGGGATAAAGCATACCATTTTCAGATGCGGTATTTCCACTGATGCTGATGCCTGAAAGAAAATAATTTCAACACGGATCAAAATAAACTGGGAACAAGAAACATCAATAATACCACACACCAGTCCTCCACCCAGTTGTTCAAGCAACATCAAACAGTGGAATGTATGCAATGCAGATGCATTTAAACAAGTGGACTCCATGCCAAATGGCACCCAGGAAGGGAATGAAGAGGGAATAGCAAACGCTAATGGAGGACTGATCAGTCTTTGGCCGAAAGAATGACGTTAACCTGAGAAAGGAAACATTTCTGTGACTTCTTAATTTCAGAAAGAGGCTGCTAAGGAGCACCATTATTGAGGTTTTTAATAATAGGCAAAGTCTGAGAAAAGTGGACAGAGAGAAGTTTTTTTCTCCCAAAATGCTAATGGTTCAGGACAGGCACATAATATTTCCTCACCTACCATAGGCTGTGGAGACAGATCACAGATCCTTTGGCCCTGGAATCTGGCAGCCACTAAAGGCAACATCTCCATCATTGCTCTGACAGGTTTTCCTCTTCAGGGGGCTGTATTAACATTTGCATTCAGCCTTTCCTCCAAAAGCTTGCAACATAAATGTCCCATTCCTCATTTATGAGGTTGGTGAGAAAGAGGGAAGTGGCTGCCTCCAACCCCAGGCCAGGTGTGGGGAGGACAATGGTCTGCTGCTTTCAGTTGGGGGGTGGGTAAGCAGATGCTCTGAATCACAAACACAGCTGAGGGCAAGCAACACATGGTAATGAACTGGCAGTCTGGTCCTCATGCCTTCTCACTATGCTCGTCTTCTTTCTTTCTTTCTTTCTTTCTTTCTCTTTTCTCTTTCTTTCGCAGCCTGCCTCCCCTCCCCCTCCCAGCCCTGACTCCACAAGCCACCACCCTCTCAAACTGCCTACCTTGGAAGAACAGGGCAAGGAGAGTTACCCACAGCAACTGTTCCTGGCCTCCCATGCTTGTCAATGGGGGAGCCAGATATGTTGGTCCCTGTTTTTCTCAGCTCAGGCAACAGGTCTTCTGACAGGTGAAAAAATGACTGGGCAAGAAGATGTAGGGAAGATTTTTGCAGGCAGTCTGCAGCAGGAAGTCTGTGGGTAGGGGCACTTCCGTCCTGTGTGGTGTATATGTGTGTGTGTGTGTGTGTGTGTGCATGCTTTTACACGTAAGGAAATGAAAGGACGAAAGAGATGCTACAGGGAAAGCGCTCTGCTGAAAAAATGGAGCTGATTTCCTTTCCCCTTTGCAGAACTGAATGGCAGAACTGGGCCCTCTGTCCCAGCAGCAGTTCTCCACTCAGGCACCCCAGAAACAAGCCCCGAGAGTGGGGGGGCACCTCCTCCCTTTTGGCCAAGCCTGTCGGGCAGGGCAGTTAGAGCAAACTCGGAGCGGCGGCTCAGCCCAGCCGGGTCCCTCCTCAGCTTCTGCTGGGGACACCGCAGCACCGGCCCTCAGCCTCCAACTGTCGACCCAGAGCAGCGTTTCGCAACCTCGGCCATTTTAAGGTCTGTGCACTTCGACTCCCAGAGCTCCCCAGGCTGCCTTACTGGCCGAGGAATCCTGCGAGCCGAAGCCCGCCCCCCTTACGCAGAGACCAAGGGAGACGGGTCGCCTGGCCGGTCGGGGCGCCGGGAAACCTCCAGCGACAGGCTCGCCTCAGCCCTCTCTCTGTCCGAGCGCCTGTCTGGGATCGGCGCCCGGGGACAAAGCCGAAGCCGGCCGTAGCCCTCGCGTCCCCAGGGTGTCCCGCTCGCCTCGGCGGCCGTCTCGGAGCCGTCCTCGGACAGGTGCCCGGAGGGGCCTGGCGGGAGGCGGCGCCTTTGTCGCTGCTGCTGCTGCATCGCGCTACCGGCTGGCACTCAAGTGGCTGCCCGGGCCGCAGGGCGGAGAGGCGGCTGCCCCGCGCCTGGGACCGGGGCGCCTCCGAAGGGCGGGGGTGACGCAGGCGCCGGCAGCTCCCTCTAGACGCGGCGCGGCTGCATGGTCGGTCGGTGTCCGCCTCTGCCTCCCTCCTCCTCCCCCCCAGCTACGCGCGCTTCCGGCTCCCTCTGATGACGTCGGCGCAGACTGCGGGCGTCGCAGGTTGCCAAGCTCATAGCTGAAAGGTGGCGCGGCCGCTCAGCTGGAGCGCCTCTGAGCCTCGGGCCTCTCGTTGCTTCTGCTGCTCGTCACCCCCGTCCTGCTCCAGGGCGCCCGGGGCTGCGGGCCGTCGCTCGTCGTCTGGGTGGCGGCTCTCCATGGAGCTCGCCCGGCGGGGAAATGACCGACCACGAGAACAACAACAACATCTCCCGGAACCCCTTCGCCGCCCTCTTCAGTTCCGTCGCCGACGCCCGGCACTTCGCCGAGATCCAGAAGCCGCCGACGCAACCCGCGGGTGAGCGAGGAGGCCGGGCGGCTGAGAGGGACGAACGTAGACCCCGACGGAGCGCCCGCCCTGATCGCCTCTCTCGCACCCTGGGCCGCGGGCTCCAAACGCGCGAAGAAATCTCTGCCCGCCTTCTTTTACTTCACCCTTTCCTTTTCCTTTTCCTTTCTGCACCTGCGGGTGTAGTTGCGTTCGATCTTTCTATAACGGGGTTACCACGAAAGCTTATTGTTTATTTGTTGTCCATCCAAAGTCCCTTTCCTTCAGTCAGTGGGAGCTCAACCTCGGTCCATCTACCTGCAAAGTTAGACAATTTAGTTGAAATTTTAGCCCAATTATAGGACAGTTAGCAACAGAATTGAAAAAGAAATGCAAGCACTTAGTGGACTACGTGAATTAGACCAGCATTACCTGGCAGGTATGGAAATCCAGAGAGCTAACTTTTTACTAGTTTAATTCCAGATTCTCAGATGGCTTTTCAGAAGTCATGTTTTTATGATCTGCAAGTTGCTTACTTGCTGTGTAAAAAAAGTGCCCTTATTAAGTTTTTGGTGCTGTGCCAGCCCAGATGAGAGGCACAGGCTTTTAGAGAGATTGCTCAGATGGTGTATGTGTGGGGGGCAGTTGGGGCCCAGGTACACTGCTTATTGACTAGCTCTGCTTCTCTAGTAGAGGAAACCTCTGCCAGCCAAGATGATTCTGACAACAGTGTGTCTGAGAGTCTGGATGATTGCGACTACTCTGTGGCTGAGATCAGTCGCTCCTTTCGCTCCCAGCAGGAGCTCTGCGAGCAGCTCAACATCAACCACATGATCCAGAGAATCTTCCTGATCACATTGGATAACAGTGAGTTTGGAAGCATGAGTGGCCAGAATCCAGGGTGGGTTGTATTAAGGTGGAGGGGAGCCACCAGGTGGCAGGTTTTGATCCATGAATGCAAATTCAGGCTCCTCTCCTGGAGAACAATTGTTGATATCATACAACATCTGCTGACTTAAGATGCCTCAAAGGCGACAAAATCTGTTTGCCAAAAGAACTGTGTAAATGTTCTCATGGCAAAAACAAATATGCATATAGAATGAAAATATTGTTCTCCATTGTGCAAGCAGTTAAGAGGACCTTCCATTGGATGCAAAGCCAAATTTACTGATGTGGATTTCTGTATCTTTATGGGCTGGTCAGCATATTGCAGGTGTGACAAACTTTACCCAACCTGGTGGTATTTCTTGCAACCATGCTGCTTCGTTCTCCTGCTCCAATTGTTATACTGTAGGGTATGGCTTGTTCCTTTACTGTTTTTTTTTTTTTTAAGATTTGTGCTTTGCTGTGCTATTTCATTGATCTGAGAGATTGCTTTCCTTTAGGCCACAAACCATGCCAGCCTCAATTTTGTGCCCTTTAGTATGTGTTGGGAAGGCTGGGAGTTGCAGTTAAAGATACGTGAGAGCAATATCTTCAGGAGGGCCTTGTTTTAACATCTGCTAAATCAAGAAGCCAAAGTATGACAATAAAAGTTGTTGACAGGGAGAGAGAAATGGTTCTGAACATGGAATGTTTTGGGTATTTCCCTATTGCTGCTTTGATGATTTCCCCCCTCCCCTTTGTAGGTGACCCCAATCTGAAGAGTGGAAATGGTATTCCTGCACGGTGTGTATACCTGGAGGAAATGGCTGCAGACCTTGAGGATCAGGACTGGCTGGACATGGAAAATGTGGAACAGGTCTGCATGCAAGTATCTGATGGGGTCTTCACCAGATTGGGGGCTTGCTGGAGAAGGCTAGTCTTGGTCATCAGGCCAACTCTTCCCTGTGCCTATGGCTAGGAAAAGATGCTTCCCCAAGCCAGGATACCATGTGCCTAGAGGCCTTTGATTGCTTGTTTTGATTTGCTTTATAGTACTTTTCCTTGAACGAGTCAATTTCATCTTATACGAAATGACTGAGTTCTATGGGCTGCCAGCTAGATTTAGAGAAACATGTGAAAGACCTGGCTGTTCATGCATAAGGTCACTCTATAAAAAAATTGGATGTAAATGAAATTTAGGGTCTTTCTCCAAATGTTGGGAGGGAGCAATAATATTATGGATTGTTATGTTTCCCCAGGCCCTTTTTACCCAATTGCTGCTCCCAGAACCTGGAAATCACTTGATCCACATGACTTCAACTGGCATCCAGAATCTCTCAGCAGAGAGAGATGCAGGAGAGAAGCACATCCTGCGATACCTCTTTGCCTGCTTCCAGAGGGCAAAGGAGGAGGTGGGTCAAGCACTCATGTCACACCCAAGCCGCTTGCTGGCCTGGACAGAAGGGGCTAGAGATCAGCTGTTCTCTCTGTTCTCCTAGATCACCAAGGTGCCCGAGAACTTGTTGCCTTTTGCAGTGCGTTGCAGAAATCTGACTGTGTCCAATACCCACACACTCTTCCTAACCCCAGAGATCTACGTCAACCAGAATGTCTACGAGCAGTTAGTGGACTTGATGCTGGAATCGCTAAGAGGGGCTCGTGAGTTGGCAAAGGCTGATATCCCAGGATAAGTTATGGGATCCAGCTTGTGGCAGCTGTATCTTTTTTAAAATACCCGTCCTTTCTCTCCCCCATAGACTTTGAAGAGGTAACAGAGTTCCTGGAGGAGGTCATCAAAACCCTCACGATGGATGAGGAAGTGAGGGCTTTTGAGGAGGTTATGGTCCCTGTCTTCGACATCCTCTCAGGACGAATTCGGGACCTACACCTTTGCCAGATCCTGTTGTACTCATATCTGGATATACTCCTGTATTTCACTAAGCAAAAGGATATTGCCCAAGTGAGTCCTTGGTGGTCTCATTCACCCCCAGATGGCCAGAATCCCTTGCTGCCTTTACCCTTGTTTCACCTGGGAGAGAGGCCACTTTCCTCTACCTCACGTTGTATGTGTGTTTGTGTGGTGAAATTTTGAAGTGTTTTCAAAGGAAAAACCAAGAAAGTCCAGTTGCCTTTAAAAAAAAAAACAGCATCTCTGGGTCTACTTCTGTTTGTTCAGGTTTTTGTTGAGTATATTCAGCCAAAAGATCCAGCCAATGGACAGCTCTACCAGAAGACGCTGCTGGGAGCCATCTTGAACATCTCATGTCTTCTGAAGACACCTGGTGTGGTGGAAAGCCATGGCTACTTTCTGAACCCCTCTCGATCCAGTCCTCAAGAGATCAAGGTGCAAGAATCCAACATCCACCAGGTGTATATTTCTGTTCCATTCCTGTTTTGCTTGTGTATCAAGATTGTGTGTTGAGAGGCAGCAAAATGGCCACGGATGACAAGCCCTCTTTTGTATACTGTGTTGTTTCATGCATACTATCCAAGTATGATCAGAGTCGGTAAGGTGCAGTGGTTAGAATGCAGTATTTCAGGCTAATTCTGCTGACTGCCGATTGCCAGCAGTTCGGCAGTTTGAGTCTCACCAGCTCAAGGTTGACTCAGCCTCCCGTCCTTCCGAAGTGGGTGAGGACCCAGATTGTTGGGAGAGAGAGGCTGACTCTGTAAACCGCTCAGAGAAGGCTGGAGAGCACCGAGTGTATATAAGGGCTTTTGCTATGCTCAGGCAGATCTGTGGCCTTGGAATAGGACACTGGCTGCCTTCTGTGGAGATCGTCTAGGGCTGCTGTGAGGGGGGAGGGGGGGAATTAAAATCCAGAAAGTGCCGTAAAAGAGGTGGAAGTGCCAGGACTTGGGAAGGGAGCAGAGGAAGGACTTGGTGGAAGAGAGCAGGCAGTCCTCAGCTGGTGGCCACAATTGAGCCCAACATTTCTGTTCCTAAACGAGTCAGTTGTTAAGTGAGTTTTGCCCCACTTTACGACCTTTCATGCCACAGTTAAGTGAATCACTCAGTTAATTTAGTCACCTGGTTGTTAAGTAAGCCCGGTTTTCCCACTGACTCTGCTTGTAAGAAGGTCACAAAAGGGACCGTCATAAATCCATACCAGCTGCTGAGTGCCTTAATTTTGTGACCGTGGGGAAGCTGCTGTGACCTTAAGAGTGAAAAGCGGCCATAATCCATGGTAACTCTGAACGGTCACTAAACAAACTTTTGTGAGTTGAGGACTACCTGCCTGTGTCTTAGAGGACTGCAGGCCCAGGGAGCCTGTGCATGTGCGTTGACGTTAAGACCTCCTCTCGTAACCACAGTTCATGGCTGAATTCCATGAGAAGATTCATCAGATGCTGAAGAATCTGCTGCAGCTCTCCCCACAGACAAAACACAAGATCCTGGCCTGGCTGGGAAACTGTCTTCACGCCAATGCTGGGCGCACCAAAATCTGGGCCAACCAGATGCCAGAGATCTTCTTCCAGATGTATGCCTCAGATGCCTTCTTCCTGAACTTGGGAGCTGCTCTCCTCAGGCTCTGTCAGCCCTTCTGTAAGCCCCGATCTCACCGGCTTCTGACATTTGACCCAACCTATTGTGCTGTGAAGGAACTGAATGAGGAAGAGCAGAGGGTGAAGAATGTGCACCTGAAAGGTGAGAGAGAGAGAGAGAGGCGTTGCTGCCATGAGAAGTGGCTTCCTTTTGCTGGAGCTTTCTCTGATCAGTATTGATAGCGCTCTTCATTTCGTTTAAGGCTTGGAAAGAGAAACTTGCTTGATCCCAGCTGTAACTGAGCAGGAGCCAAAATTTGCTGACAGCTATAACCTGGTGACAGAGAACTTGGTATTGACGCAGTACGCCCTCCACTTAGGATTTCACAGGTACACAGGAGGCTCCGTGGTGGGAACACTGCAGGTCTTGGGAAGACTTTTCCACGGCAGCTGATACTGTTCAGGTTTTGGCAGGATGTAGCTCAAAATATTAACAAATCTCAGTGGCTTTTTAGGAGAACACTGGGGCTCCTGCTGATGTAATAGCACCCAAATGTAGGTATAGTCCTTGCTTAGCAACCACACTTGGGCCAAAAATTTTGGTTGTAAGTCGTCGTTAAGTGGACCGTTATGTGACATAACTCGATTTTATGACTTTTTATAACCATCATAAAACAAATCACCACTGTCGTTAAACAAATCATGTGGTTGTTTAAACCGCTTGGTTAAGTGAATCCAGCATACCTAGTGGGCATTTTACCATTTTCTACTAGAAAACAGCAAAAGACATGGCAAATCATGGTTATGTGATTGTGGAACACTGCAAGTAGTTGTAAATATGAACTGGTTGCCAATACAATTCCATGATTGCGGGGGAGGGTGTGCGCAGTAGTTGTAACTTCAAGGATGGGTCATAAGTCATCATGCATGCCAAAACAACTGTTAGACAGATAGTTTTATGATGGTATGTTTTATGATCTATGACTTACCGCTTTGTTGTTTGTATGTACACTGAGAGCTTATGTATGAGACAAATTCCTTATGTGTCCAGTCACACTTGGCCAATAAAGAATATTTCTATCCCTATTCCTAAGTAAGTTTGTGTTGGTGGTGGTTTTTACTAGTTGTTAAGGAAATTGGTCATTAAGCAAGGACTAACTCTAGGCCACGTTTATTATACACCAGTTGATGTTTGCATGTGGGGAAGAATGTTTTCTTGGTCTACTGGAGGATATGAATGGATGGAAATTAAAGCGAATTATGATTTCTTCAAACTTTTATGGGTCCTTCAATGAAAGCAGCTCTGCACAGAACATAATGCAAAAAATCCTTGCATGCCAGCTCTTGCCCCCAGCCGACCTCAACACTCATTGCTGGCCTCCCTGGTTCCCCTTTTCCATTACAGCCGCCCAATTTGTAGTGGTCACCTTGTGCTTTCCTGGTAGTACTGCCACTCTATCTGTTTCTTGTACAGATTGCATGACCAGATGATCAAACTCAACCAAAGCCTGCATCGACTACAGATGGCATGGCGGGAAGCTCAGCAAAGCTCCAGCCCCTCAGCTGACAATCTTCGGGAGCAGTTTGAGCGTCTCATGACCATTTACCTTTCCACTAAAGCAGCCATGACAGAGCCTCAGATGTTGAAGAACTGCCTCAATCTGCAGGTGTCCATGGCTGTTCTCCTGGTCCAGCTGGCCATCGGAAACCAAGGGACTGAGCTGATGGCCTTGACCTTCCCTCTGCCCGAAGTGAAGAAGAGTGCACTGGCCTATGTCCCAGGTGACTGGCAAGATACTTAAATCTTTAGAAGTGGGTTTGAGCAGGGCGAAGATGGAGCCTGAGGCTTTGCCATTCCCAAGAGACTTGACAGGGGTCTCTAGTCTTTTGGTGTGGGCTCATGCCTGGCTGATTTGTAACACCATCCTTGGGTTGAAGTAGAATTGTAAAAGGGAACATCCACAAGCAGCCCTTCCCTTGCAAAATGTGCATGCTTGCACAAGTATATGTTGTTAGGAATATTTTTCCTTTTGGAAATTTTAGCTAGTAGCATTTACCTTGAAATGTTTGTTTGTTTAAATTTCAATTTCTATAGCTGCCTAACTCAAGAGAGTGACTCTGGGCACTTTAAAATTATGTTTGGCTTGGTTTCCTCTTAGATGTTAATATCATAAACCCTCTCCTGCTTCCAAGGAAATCTGTAATGCCATCTGGGTGGCCTCGGGAGGCCATTGCCACCTTGTCCTCCAATCCCTGCCCTCACAGCGAAGGAGCAAGCATGGGGCTGGTAGCTGTAGCTGTAACTCTTAGCAAGAGTTCACTTGGGTCTTTGCATTTGCAGAATTCTTTGCTGACAACTTAGGCGATTTCTTCATTTTCCTGCGCCGCTTTGCTGATGATCTCCTGGAACCTTCAGCTGACTCCCTGGAGCACGTACTTCATTTTGTGACCATCTTCACAGGGGATGTGGACAGGTAAAAGCTTTTTCTGAAGGCTGGAGAGGTGTGAATCAGGCCCACTCTGAGTCAAGCAGCCCGCTTGCCAATGAACAGCAACCTTGCCTTAGGAAGGAAAACTTTGACCCCAATAAACTCAATAAACTTTAGATTGAGTGCAGGTTCAAGTTTTTCTTGAGCCTTCAAGCAAATTTGGTTGGCTTGGTTTTGACTGCTCAGTTCCTTGAACACCTCGGCCCACGGATGTGAGAGTGGAGCGGTATAACAGGAATCGGAAGCATTGAGCTGGGTGGGAAGCAGTTGTTACTCTGTGATGAGAACCCATGGTGAGCAGCCTAACGCTTGTCTGTTGGGAGGATACATGAGTCCCTCATTGCTGCCAAACTGCAGGAGAATTCCGGGGGGTGGGTGGGGGGGTGTTGATTGAATTTTAGAGAAAGTGTGGATTTGGAGGTTTCCACCCACTCCTCTTGGCAGAATGAAGAACCCTCACTTGAGAGCCAAACTGGCTGAAGTTCTGGAGGCTGTGATGCCCCACCTGGATCAGGCACAGACCCCTCTGGTCTCAAGTGTCTTTCATCGCAAGAGAGTCTTCTGCTCCTACCAGCATGCTGCTTACCTGGCTGAGGCGCTAATTAAGGTTTTTGTGGACATTGAATTTACAGGTAAGGAAGCGGGTGGGCTGAGGGGGGCATCTCATTCCCTCAGTTCCTGCCGTATAGTGCAGTCCCTTGAACGAAGTGCCCAGAATCCGCTTTGGTGGATCTGAAAGCAGAGTTGCTCATTTGGTAATGGTCGTGCTGCTGGCAGAATGAGATGAAAAGGCCTTGCCTTTTCTTCCAAGTTTTGAGATTTGTGTTCCACTCTGGTCCAAGCCACCTCTTTCCCTGTTGCTTTTTGGGGGTAGAGGAGGGAAGAGCTGATCCCCCTACTCTCCATCCTGTGGGCTTTTGGGTTTCTATGTACAAGAAGGAATCTCAGAGAATAAGATCTTTGTCAGTCCTCTAGTATCTCCAGGTCCTGCAATCACTACGGGCCTTCTCCTGTGCAGGGGATCCCCATCAATTTGAGCAGAAGTTTAATTATCGTAGACCCATGTACCCTATCCTCCGGTATATGTGGGACATTGATTCATACCAGGCAAGCATAAAGGTAAGGACCTGAGGTTTGCAAATGATGAGGGCTAGGAGAAGAATGGTGTTTTGGGGAAGGAAACATCCCCCCTCCGCTCCCCATCTCTTTGCACTGTGCAGGCACTGGCTGATTATGCCTCTGAGAACCTTGAAGGCATGGCCCCCCCGCTCTTCTTGCGCTTTCTGAACCTGCTTATGAATGATGCCATTTTCTTGCTGGATGAAGCAATACAGGTAAAGCATTATACTGTGACTGCCAAACTATAAGACTCTTCTTTTTTTTGGTAAGAATGATTCGTTAAAGGGTTGCCAATTTTGGTGCCTTTAATGCAGCACAGAGCCAATTGAGAAGTGGAGAAACTGTGTGGCAGTTTCAAGGGGCATTTTCTGCCTTGGATAATTGCTCACCCTTTACCAGCTGAGGAGATGAAAGGAAGGCTTCAGCTGCAGAGCTGCTCCTACCAAGAAAGTTTTTCCGAGAGGTTTAGATCTGGAGTCTTTGCACTTGGCTTCTGTACCTCCAGTTCTCCATTTTTGTAAGGTTCATGCTTTCTGCTCCAAGTCTACAGGAAGGGCTTGCCATGACACTTCCATTTCCCACCCACTGAACTTTCTGCACCACACTTCATTCCAGAAACAAGATCCGATTGATCCAGTTTCTGTTCCCCCATTTCTGTGTGTTTTGTAGAATGTTTTAATGTAGTAGTTAAGATGTTGTAATCTACCTCAGTCCCAGAAGGTCCCTGGATGAGTTGGAGCTATCACTCTCAGTCCAACCTTTCTCACAGGATTGCTGCTGTGGGCAAAATCAGAAGGCCTTGTATACAAAAATCTTTGCTCTTGAATAAATCTGTAAATCTCCAAGGTGAAAGGAACTTCTGAAGATGGCTGCTTGAGCAAGAGTGTGATTTTGGAACAGATCCTCCTCCCCCCCCCCCCCCCCCCCCCCCGTTTCCCATTTCAAATTTTTCTGCAGTACCTGAGCAAGATCAAGATCCAGCAAATAGAGAAGGACCGGGGCGAGTGGGACAGCCTGTCTGCAGAAGTGCGGCGTGAGAAGGAAGCCAGCCTGCAAATGTTTGGGCAGTTGGCTCGCTTCCACAACATCATGTCCAATGAGACCATCGGGACCTTGGCCTTCCTGACCTCAGGTAAAGGCCCTGTGTTCTTCCTGGCATGGAATGCTGAAGGGAGCAGAACTGCTGACGGAGCCTCCTTTTCATTGCAGAGATCAAATCTCTCTTTGTGCACCCTTTCCTGGCGGAACGCATCATCTCCATGCTCAACTACTTCCTCCAGCACCTGGTAGGCCCCAAAATGGGGGCCTTGAAGGTCAAGGACTTCAGTGAATTTGACTTCAAGCCCCAACAACTGGTTTCTGACATTTGTACGATATATCTAAACCTGGGGTAAGTTGCATGCTGGAAAGGAAATACCTGTTGGAATGCTTCTTGGGAAGAGGATTAGAGGGATTTGCCTTATGCATCCAGAGTTTTAGTGGATGTTGAAATGTTTCTTGTGGAAGAGCAGCCAGTAACCCACCAGAGGTCCTCCTCAGATGACCTGATCAGACTAAGAGTTTAACTCCTCAAAGCCAATGGACAACCACTGGAGAATAATATCTCATTGTTTATGAATGCCAGTAGCCCATTCCAGTCCCCCAAGTTCTGCCAGTGAGAAAGAACAGGAGACACACCCTTCGTGTCATGCTCTCTGGAATGTGAAGAGCATGGGAGGAGGCTTGGGACTTTTGAGTCCCATAAACCTGAAGGTAGTACATTGCACGGAAAGGGTTCTTGGGGAAAGGGGCAGAATGGCTAGTGGGGTTTATGAACTTTCATTCTTTTCCATCTTCGTTGGATCTAACTGCAAATACGAGAGAAATGGGGCTGTATTGTGGAGAGTGCCCTTGGTCCTGGATGTATCAGTCCAAGGCAATGCTCTGAATCTTGGCTGCAATCCACAGGATGAAGGCATGGGCTTCCTATCCTGTGTCAAGAATTTGCACAGTGGACCAGGTGTTGTGCTTGTATACCCTACCTAGGAAACTATGGAACTTCGGCTAGGCTGGTCTCTCTCTTATGAAGGCCATTCTTGCTGGCTCATATGCCCAAGCAAATCATCTTATAATTTAACCGGCTGGGCTCAGCTGAGTCAGTTTAAACTAAGCTAGACAAAAGTGTCACGTAGACTCAGATAGTCTATGTGCTAAGGGGGAGAGCTGTCAAATTTCTTTGGTCCAAGTGCTGGTGAAAGATAAGAAGGTGAACCCCTGAATGGAGTAAGTGTGGAGCTGTCCTGTCTGTTCAGGCAGATCAAATTTGGGTGAGGCCCCCCATAAGGAAGATTTACAATGGGTTACGTTGTACCTCAGGGACTACAAAGATGCTCACCACAAAGCAATCTTACAGAAGAGAGTTCCTTCTGAACAGGAGAAATTATAGTGCAAATAGGCTAGAGCCAATATATTGCAAATGGGCCAAGACTGAACGGGGCTTTTGATCTCACCTCATAAAAGGCTGTGGAAGTGCAAGAAAGGAAGCAGGATAGGAAAGCCGAAGTGACCGAGAGTGCCAAATGGAAAAGAGGCTTCCTTGCGTGGGGCCTCAGTGTCCACTTTTAGCCCCTCTTCTCTGTTTCAGTGACGAAGCGAACTTTTGCGCCACAGTGCCTAAGGATGGGCGATCCTATTCCCCAACTCTTTTTGCTCAGACAGTCCGAGTTTTGAAGAAAATTAATAAGCCTGGCAACATGATTGTAGCATTTAGCAACCTGGCAGAGCAAATTAAGGTGAGATGGGAAAGCTGTCAATCTCCCCTTCCCCCAAATCTGTCTCTATATGTTGAAAACCTTCAATGCATCCTGGGTTTATACTGAGCAACATTTGGCTTTAATCTCCTGGCAGTGGAACTTTGAATTTCAATGTTCTTATAATAGCTGCTGGATGTTTAAAATTCTAAAGAGACAGGTGAAAAATAGAGTTGATCGGGACTTACATTCCTCTCTGTATCTGAGAACTGAATTTATTGCAGTGTGATATGAATGCAGTCAAATTTCCAAGATTCAGCAAGACACAAGAAAACTCTGTATTAGTTGTGCTTACGTGGAATCAAATAGCCAATCAAGGGCTGTACTTGGGCTTTTACCTCTGCCCTGTTTCAGTTTCCAGGGCAAAGGTGACCCCTTGAAATCACTGGCTACATTTTTCTAGCAGTGCTAGCTCCTATGGATCCTGGGGCTTGTTTTGAGTTTGTCAATAGGAATTTGCAGGGTAGCCCAGCAGGGCCCCCTCTGCTGATTCCTGGATTTGTTTCTTCAGTCTCTAGCAGATCGCCAGCTGCAGGAAGAGGAGACATATGCAGATGCCTGTGATGAATTTCTGGATCCCATCATGAGCACCTTAATGACAGATCCGGTGCTGCTGCCTTCTTCTCGGGTCACAGTGGACAGAACAACAATCGCTAGGCACCTCTTGAGGTATTTAGAAGACAGAAAGGCAGGAGAAAATGGAATTATGCCTAATTTCCTTCTAGGGAAGAGTGAACTTGTTTTGCATTTAGACATTGCCACTAAATTCCTTGTAGGATGCTAGTGAAGGGTGATGCCCAGATTTGTCCCTGCATTCACTGGCCAGTTCCACTCTTTCATCCCCCTACTGATTGGGTCAGCCATGGTATCCTTTTGGGCCAGCCATGAAGTTTGGGGCTTGCAGTTCAGTTCTGCATTGGCTTGACTCCTTTCTCCGAGGCTGGTTCCAATTGGTGTTGATAGGAGGGAGTGAAGGATCCAGCCCCAGCTGTTCTCTTGTGGCGTGCCACAGGGCTCGGTACCCTCTCCACTACTGTTTATCATCTGCATTATCTTATCAGCATGGGTTGAGGTATCATCAGTGTGCTGATGATCCTCGATACTTGCACACCTGGTGACCCAGGTGATTCTGTCACTACCTTCACAGTGCCAGGAGACTGTAGAGACCTGGGTGGGGGACAACAGGCTACGACAAAGCCTGGCAAAACTGAGTGGCTTGATTTCATGGAGCTTCAAGATTGGGGTATTTGACATCTTTAGTTCTGGGCAGGGTTGTATTATCCCACTCCGATCCAATTCATAACTTAGCAGTTTGTGACTCCTGCTCAAAAAGCAGCTGACTGGCAAGGAGAGGCTCTGCATAGCTTCGGTTTGTGCATCAGCTGTGACCTTCCTGGATAAGGACTCCCTGCACTCAGTCGCTCAAATCCTAATTCAAGGTGTTGGTGATGACCTTTAAAGCCCTCCATGGCATAGACCCTGGTTACCTGATGAACCATCTCATCCGGCTATGACAGGCCCATTCGTGTGGCAGAGGCCTGCCACAGATTCTGTCAGTCAAGGAACTCCAGAAGAGCCTTTTCTGCCGTAGGCCAGCCTTTTAAAACATCCTGCCCCCCCCCCCCCAGGGGGGGGGGGGTGTGCCCCCGTCTTCCTGTCCTGAGAAGGGGGGCGGGGGGAGGGGGGGGGGGGGGGGGGGGGGTGGTGAGTCATGCTGGAGGTGGCTGTTAGACTAAGAACACCCCCCACCACGCATCCTGCTCCCTCCTCACCATCTTTTATTCACATTGCTGTATTTTCATTGGTTTTTATTTTCATTTTTACTATTGTTATATTGTTTTGTAATTTTGCATTTTACTGGTGTAAGCAGATTCCCACTGCTACCAGAAACCGCATAGAGGTTAGACAGGCATGTTGGGTCAGTAAGAAGGTAAGAGCTCTGTGATCAGACAAAAAGCAATATATATATTATATATATATATATAATTACTTTCAAGTGTGTAAGGATGCTTATGTGTCTACTGAAATTGATGGTTGTTTGCTAGTTAACAGCCTGATTTTACTGTCATCCTCTCCCTGCTTTCTTTCTGCAGCGATCAGACAGATCCTTTCAATCGCAGCCCTCTCACCATGGACCAGATCAAGCCAAATACTGAACTGAAGGAGAAGATTCAACAATGGCTGGCAGACAGAAAGAAGCAAAAGGAGCTGTGACTCGGCCAGAATGCTGTGGCCCCAGCTGCCTCTTTCAGTGAACCCAGGACTGATTTTGACTGCCCCTCCTTCTCCATAATGAGGATCCAGCTTCCTTGGGCTCCTCTGCACTTTTCTGTGGGTCCTTATATCTAAGATCTTCTGGAAACCTCCTCCCTTGACAGTTTGTCTCCTATATTGTTTTCGTAAGAATCCCTCTCCATGTTGGTTTCTCTTTAGCTGTTGTCCCAGATACTGGGCTGGACTTTCCCTTTTATGTTTAAAAAGAAAAGCTGTATTTACTCAATGGGGCAGAAGTTTTTCTTGTGTAAAGCCATTGTGGTAGCATGGTGATTTATGGCTCACTCTGAGAAAAACGGGAGCAACCAACATAGATAAGAACTGGGAGAACTGTGGGTGAACCATGGGCCTTATAACATCAAGCAGCTGTCATAAGCCTTATCACTCTTGCTCCCAGGAACGACATTTTGGGGAAACGCTGTGAACACGTGACTGTGCAGGTGCCGCCCTGTAACTCTTGCCTGCTCTAACGCAGTGCCTGCCGCATGGCAGAGGTGCCCCTGCTGTAGGTAGGATGTTCGCTCCCGTCAGATCAATAAAAGCGTTGGCTGCCCCAATGGTTTCGGCCCCCGTGCCTCTTCCTCTCTTGTCAGGGCGATTCCGGGTTCTGCTTCCTTTCAGGCTGAAGCCGCAGAATTCCAGCAGGAGGAAGAGGAGGAGAAGGCCTGGAAGGGTGGGAGGAGCTGCGTTTCTTATGCAAACCCGGGAAAGCAGCTCGCAGGCCTGGCCTGCTCAGCCTCGCAAGGGGGAAAGAGGAGGAGGAGCTGCCCCGCCCCGGCCGCCCTTTCGTAGCCGCCCCGGCGAGAGGAGAGGGAAGCCCAGGCCGGCCCCCGCCATCCGGATCCGCCCCCGGAGGGCGCATGCGCGGGGGCTCGCCCCGTGACTGCCGCGGCGGAAAGCGAGGGGCGTGGCCCGGCAGTCTGTCGCGCGGCGGGCTCTGACCTTCAGCGGCTCCTTCCGGCTCCGCCATGGCGCAGGCCGCGCAGAAGGTGCTCCGGGCTCTCTCCGCCAAGGGACCGCAGCTGCTCTCCGGTGAGGGGAAGCGCGGGGGCTCAGTGGATGCGGCGGGGCTGCAGTGCCTCCGCCCTGCCTGCCTGCCGCGCTCCGGCCGGCTCTGACCCTCGGGCGGCTGGGGACGAGGCCGCAACTCCGGCCGCAGCTTGCCTGCCAGGCGGCTGACGCAGCGAGAGAAGAGCAGCCATTTCGCCGGCGCCCCAACCAACCCCGTCCCCTTCTGCCTTGTGTAGTGTCGGGCTGCCGCGGGGCCTCGGAAAAGCTGACCTTGCCCGCCTCCGTGAGACCGGGAGCCCCGCGGTGGGCAGGGTGGAGGGGCCTCCTGGCGCCGGATGGGTGGCTTAGAGGAGGGAGGGCTGGCTCACCACAGGCAGCCCCCCCCCCCCGCTGCTTGACAGAGGTGACCATAGTGGAGCCTGTCCAGCCAACAGGGCAGCTGGGGAGGGCAGCGGCCGAAGTGCCCCAAGCAGGCTGCCCTGTCTTAAATTTCAATCACTTGACTGGGGGGCTACAATATGGCCATCACCTCAGGAACCGGGCGGTTGTTAACCTCAGGACTACCAATATTAAGGATGCTGAGGAACTGGAGAGAGTAGGGAGGAGAGCAAGAAGCATGGCAAGGAGCTTGGAAGCTAAAGCCTTTATAAAGGAATTAAACGGTACTGTAAAGGTACAGTTTAGCCCAAGGGTGGACAATTAATTTTCCCAAGAAGGCCGCCAGTGCCCTGATGCTGCCAACTTCTTCTTCCATGGGCTGGATTGGGACCACCCGCAGGTTGGATGTGGCCCGTGGGCCATAAAATGCCCATGTCTGGTTTAGCCTAAAGAAGAGAAAGCTAATGGATATCAGTCTTCTAATACTTGAAGGGCTGTCTCAGAAAGACAATGATGTATGTATGTATGTATGTATGTATGTATGTATGTATGTATATATACTTTATAGTGCCTGGGAACCAGACAAGCAATAGCTGGAAGCTTTACAGAGAGAGATGTAAACTTGAAATAAGAATATTACGCAGAGAACCAATCTGCTGCCTGGAATAATTGAAGGTGCTCCATCACTGAAATGTTTCAAGCCAAGTTGGGACAGTTGTTTGTCTGGGATGATCTAAGGACTCCTTCCAACTCTAGAATTCTAGATCCAGTGACAAGAAGCCCACCACTATTCTGAGTGATTAATGCTTGGGTTTAACGGGTGTATCTAGGCTTTTTAAAAAATGTTTACTCAGAATCTGTTTTTCTTCTTCTTTATTATGCGTTCGGTCTGCTGGGATAATAGAGATTTTGTTCCCTCTGTTTGCTATCAGACATTTAAACCTTGCTCTTGCTTCATCCAGCTAAATAATCCTAATTCCTTCTATAAATCCTCAAAGGATTTTATAGTCATCTGTTCATCCCTGGTGTTCTTCTCTGAGTACATTCTAATTTCTCTTAATGTTTTTAAAACCGTGGTGTCCAGAATTGGCCACAATATTCCACGTCATTGACTAGTATACTGCAGAGTAAAATTCTCAATTCCGGTAATCTAACACATGCAGCCTAAATTATTGCATTTACTTTTTTTGCAGACATATCACACCATTCATATTCATTCATAATCTATTTTAATCTTTTTATGAATATGCTATTGAGCCAAGTAATTCCCATCCTGCACTTGTGGATTTGATATTGATTTAAGCATATAATTCATAGTTAAGCATAGAATTTCATAGTTTATAGAAATGGGCTCATAATAAAATCATCAAATCATTTTGAATTTTATTTAAGTCTTTTAATGTATTAATTAGTCTGATCAACTTTTTGCCATCTGCATTCTTAATGAAGAATATGGGGCCTTTTTATGCCTTACTTGACATCTTACATCATTTTGACAAAAAAACCACTTTTTGAATAGAATTTCAAGCTAGCCTGTTACTACCAAATATTATGGAATTGAACCCAGCTTAACTAGCTTGCTAATCAAAATGCCATATTACACTTTGATTTCAGCACAGCAATTAACAAAATTACATCTGGAGCATTTGAACAATGTACATTGTTATTTTAAAAATGAAATTTAGTCTGGCATTATGAATGTCTTTTAATTATTGTATTTACAGTTGCTTGGAGATTCATCACTTTATGCTCTAAAATATTCCTAAGCACTGACATCAGACTGACTGATTTGAAGTTCTCTGGATCATCCATCTTCCCCCCTCCATTTCTGTTTAATGACAGAACAACATTTGTCCTCCTACGGTTCTGTAGGCTTTAACCATTCTTCAGAATTTCATTTAAAGCTTAAGTGAGAACATCATTAAGTTCCTTCAATGCCCTAGGATGGTCCTCAAGATTTAAACAAGTTTTTCCCCTGATTGCATTCTAGCAGCCTCTGGTTGGCTTTCCATAGTTACTTGGAAAAAAAACATCCTCTTCTTGGAGAAGAGTGAACCAGAATAGAACCAAGCAGTGCTGTTAACATTGCAACTGATGGATGCTTTTCTATTGAACATTACAAGCTCCCAAAAGAATCTTCCCTTTGAATCAAACACTGTATTCATCACCTGACTTGGCTAGAGACAAACTCTTACTGCAAATATTATACCACAAAGGCGAAGCAAAATATCACCATAGAGGTGGAAATGCTTTGTTTTAGCATTTGCCATTTGCTCTTCATCTTACCTTGCTCTTGCTCTCTTTTCTAGCTGCTGCAACCTATTCAAGGCCTCGGCTGGACACTTTCTTGTACTATGCCAGAGTTGAGCTGGTCCCTCCAACTCCTGCTGAAATTCCCAAGGCAATTGAGAGCCTGAAAACATTGCTGAAGAGCTACCAGACTGGGCGCTTTGCACAACTCACAGTCAAAGTAAGTATTTGCCAGCAGTTGTAGTTTACAACAGCTTTGTTGGAAAATGTGCTTTCAGGCTTCTGATTTCCTAAGAGGCCAACATAGTTCTGTTCCTACAGTGTCTAAAATTAATTCCAGGAAGTCCCTTCATAGAGCTAGAGAGAATGGAAACTTTTTTTGGTGTGTGGGTTTGTGTGTGAGGGGTGGGAGAGGGAGGGAGGGAGGGAGAGAGAGATGAAGCATGAAGTAGTTTTCCATCCCATGAAGGAGATAATGGGATCAATAATTCTTCTGGAATAGTGGCTATATTAATTTGAATAAATTAAAGTCTAAATATCTCATAATTTAAATGTAAGTTATAATGACCAAGTGATAAGGTATTAGAAGACCTCTTGGTGTTGCTTGTACTTCACTGAAACTATCAGGAATGAGGGGGTGATTGCTACCATAGTAATCATTTTTAAAAATCTTTATTTTCCTTTCAGGAAGCTCTGAGGAATGGTTTGGTGGCTACTGAAGTACTGATGTGGTTTTACATTGGTGAAATCATAGGTAAACGTGGCCTGATTGGATATAATGTCTGAAGAAGTTTCTTCTTTTGATTCCTTGTAGTGTCTTGATAACATTAAACTATGTCACTGAGATTAAACTCTGTCTGCAAGTCATGTTTACATTGTAACAGAATTGGATGGTCACAGAATCATAGAATGTAATGGTTGGACAACGTCTAGTTCAACTTCATTTGGTAGAGGAATCCATGATTGCAACATTTCTAACAGGTCATCCAGACTGATGATGACTTCAAAGCTGACAGCTAACCTTCAAACCTTTTTTTCTTATTCTCCCCCTCCCTGTGTATTTATATTCTTCCATAAATGCTTCGAAGAAACCATACAGCTGCCAGAAATGAATAGAGACAGATTGGACTTGGTAGGTTCCTGTTGTTCCAGGAAATGCTAGATAGAATTAACCCTAAATCTCCAGTAGCAATTGTAAGGAGAAATAGTCAAGAATAACCATTTGTTTTTCTCAAAGATCTTATTTCATGCACCCTCAAAGCTAACACTAGTCAGAGCATAGAACAACTTAAGTAGTACAAGATTGGAAGACATGAGGTGACCCAGCCCTGTAGAATCAAGATTCAGACACGACTGAATGGATAACATCACTATTTAATGGCAGAAAAAAGATCTTAATTTCCATTTTCTCCCTTCACCATTTGCTCAAATACTTTCAACTTCATAGAGATTTGTTGGGTTTCATACTAGAGCTCATGTACTTATGATGCCACATCCAAGAACTCTTCAAGTATTCCTGACATATCTCACTTCCCAGAGTCAGAAGAAGTGCAGAAAAAGCTGCTTTTTCTCCTACGGTTTTATAGGAAGCAGTTTAGGTGTTAAAAGGAAGACTGGATGTAGCTTTAATGGGTTTGGAATTTTAGCAGACTTTCCTTTGCTACTATATAAACTGCTGCTGACAGCAGTTAGACAGTTGATCTGCCTTCTTAGCCAAAAGCACCTACTGTCCACATTCTTACCCAAAAACACAGGAACGATTTGTCCATTAAGTGAAATCCTAACATTTTGAACTGTGGTGAACCACTTCCATGGCCACAAAAGAACTACTTCAATAAGGTCTGCTAATATTGTGAGGCTACTACAACGGACTGCTAACTTAAAAAGGGTAGCTTATAGATTGGATTCCACCCCTCAGGAAGCAGAATCAGCTTTATTAGACTCCATTTCTTATTAGCCCGTCTTAATCGTATCTTTATGTGGTCAGAAGAATCCATCCGCCCCCTTCCTTTATTTATTCTGGCCTCAGCTGCCCCTCCTGTAGCCGAATGCTCCGGAACGGGGCCCTCGGTGCAGCTGCCCAGGGAAGAACAGCCGGACGCATCTGCCGCCAAGCCAGACAGGAGAAGCAGAGCGCCCGGCTCGTCCCCACCTCGGAGCAGCCGGGGATGCTGGGAGCTCCAGGCCGGCCGGAGGGCCACCCTCGCTGCCGTCCCAGCAGAAATCCCGCCTCCTCCTGGGCACCGGCCCACCTTCGCACAGGTTGGCCGGCAGGGAAGTCGCGGCGAGCCGTTCCCCTTGCCAGGGCAGCCGACTTCCCGCACAGCTGCTCAGCCTCCCAGCAGGCACCGCGATGCCTGGAGGGAGCTGAACTCGGGCTGCCAGGCCCCGAGCCCACCCGGAGGCGGAGGCAGAGGCGGCGGCGGGCAGGTCCCTCCGGGCGCCGGGAAGCCAGAGCTGCGGAGGACCGGAGCGCAGCCAGCCTCGCAGCCGGGCGTCGGCGGCCCCGGCACGGAAACTTGGCGGAGGAGCGGGCCGGAGAAGCGGCCGGAGGTACGGCGCCTTGACCGAAGCCGCCTCCGGGGGCGAGCGCAGCTCTCTCTCGGGTCCGCTCCCGGGACAGCCGCGAGGGCGGGGGCCACGCAGACCGGCTCGGGGGCTTCGGCTGAACCGCCGCGGTGGGGGCAGCGTCTCCGGCACGGCGCCGGACATGGGTCGGCTGGCTATCGGAGGAGGCGAGCGCAGCTGCCCCAGCCCCGCCTTAGTCGTGGCCTCACACGTGGGAACGAGCGCACCCGCATCTGCTCCCGACCCGGGTCCGGCCGCCTCTCCGCCCCTGCCGGGCATCCTCGCAAGGGGGCAGCACAGTAGCGGCAGCAGCGACCCCGCGGCTGCCGCCCCGCCCTCCCGAAGGCCCCGCGCTGAGCATGCGGGGCTGTTTCTGCCGGCCGCCAGGGCGAGCGTTTGCGCCATGCCGCTGGCGGGGCGGTGACGAGTGGGCCCCGGACCCTGGATGGGCGCCGCGATTATGCCAGGCGGCCCGCGGCGCCTTCTAGCTCAGGCGGCGCGCGGGGCGGCGCTCCGGCGGGGCCCGGGAACCTGGATGGGCGGCGCGCGCGTGCAGCGCCCCTAGGGGCGGGTTGTGCGGCAGGCAGGTTCCCGGGCGCGGCCCGGCCCCGCTCTCTGGCGCTTCGCCTCACAGGAAAGATGGCGCACAGCGGTCGGTGGCGCTTCCCGGCCCGGCCCGGCAGCGGCGGTTGGGGTCGCCGCGGGCTGGGGGGCTGCCGCGTGC